GGTCGTGGGCCTGAACTCTGGGCCTGAGCGCTGTCCCTCAGCTCTTCAGCTCAAGGCTAGCGCTCTACCACTTGAGCCACAGCGCCACTTCCAGCTTTTCTTTTTGCTTATGTGGTGCTGAGGAATCGAACCCAGGGCCTCAGGCACGCAAGGCAAGCGCTCTACCACTGAGCCACCTTCCCCGCCCCCAGTTCTAAAACAAGGTTGTTTCAATTGAGAGACCATGAAAAGGATCAGAATTCCTAGGCTTCCCAGAGTGCTTATCAAAATGAAAGCATGCAAGCACACGCATGCCCGCTGGTGCCCAGGTTTATCTAATGTGCATTAATCACTGTGACACTTGTGGCATGCTAGAGCCAGCTGCAGAATGCATGGCTCTGAGAATTCTAAAGACTGGGTGAGGCTGGAGTGCCACTCAGTGGTAGAGCTGCATGCCCAGAGCCCTGGGTCCCATCCAGCCCCACGAGAAAGCAGACAAGCACCTAAGCCCTCTTCCCTGTCCTCTGCGTGGGTTTTATCATCCACGAGCCCTCCCCTGTTCTAGAGTCCTGGTTTATTGACGATACTGACATCTCAAGCCACTGGAGTTTTTTTGTCTGTTGTGGGGCTTGAATTCAGGGTCTGAGTGCTGTCCCTCAGCTCTTCAGCACAAGGCAAGTGCTCTACCACTTGAGCCACAGCACTACTTCCAAGTTTCTAGTAGTTAATTGGAGATCTGCCTGGGCTGGCTTTGAACTGCAATCCTCAGATCTCAACCTCCTGAGTAGCTAGGATGAAAGTTGAGCGGCTGGTGACTGGCCTGGCTGGGTCATGGGATTTTAAGACAGAAGGGTGCGGGGAGGTGCTCTGGCAACCCAAGTAGGTGATGGGGCAGAAGCCCAGGCCTGCCAGGTAGACGGCCCCAGTGCCCGGCCCTCCTTCAGTGTCCACTGAGCTGTGTTCTGTACTCTTGGCATCTCCTTGCTCTAATCCATGAGGCCTGTTTTCCAGGTGGTGGACAAAGATTCTGAAGAGGCCGAGATCATCAGAAAGTACGTTAAGAACACCCATGCGACCACACACAACGCCTATGACCTGGAAGTGGTAGATGTAAGACTTCTCCCCACCCCCTGCTTGTCTACCACCTTCCCTGCCCACCTGGCCAGCCTGGGCCCGGGAGGAGGCACCAGCTGCCTTCATCAAGTAGAGGAGGTAGCTTACTGGGCAAGCAGGAAGTTACTCTTATCTTTGGGAGTGGTTTTTTACTTGGTTATAAGGATATTTACTGTCCACAAAACTAGTTTTAGAGTAAGAATATGGTTATTAGGAACTTATTTATCATGACTAAATTAGCCAGACGTGGTCAAAGCACACCCACGATTCCAGCACTCACCCAAGGCAGGAAGACAAGAGTTTGAGTCTGCCACAACTGAAGAGAAGTGTTCTTTGGGGGCATCTGTGTCACACCAGTGCTGCTTTGACAGCCGCTCCCTGCTGGTGGAGGCCCTGGGTAGGGGTCCTTCTGGGAGTGCATGCCATCCTGCACAGTGCTGGCTCCACCCGCTAGAAGAGCAGCGGTCAGCATCTGCAGCTCCCGTGTCCAGGAGCCTGAGGGTCATGGCTTCTCCCCTCCCAGATCTTCAGGATTGACCGCGAAGGAGAGAGCCAGCGCTACAAACCCTTCCGGCAGCTTCACAACCGCAGGCTGCTGTGGCACGGGTCCAGGACCACCAACTTCGCTGGCATCCTGTCTCAGGGGCTGCGGATAGCCCCCCCCGAAGCCCCCGTGGTAGGTGCTGGCCTGCGGGGTGCGGGGAGAGCTGGACCCCCTGTGGGTCTTCAGCCACAGATGAGCTTATTGTTTGGCTGTGGGTGCCACTGTATCGTGCCAGTCCTTTATCCTGTACCAGCCTCAGTCTCTGGAACAGTGTCCAGGAGGTGTGTCTCAAGAGGTAGAGCACCAGCCATGAACCAGAAAGCTAAATGAGAGCCCAAGTCCCTCAGTCAGAAAACATGAAGGGAGTGAGTGTCCAGACCAGGCTGCTGGGATCGTTAATGGGTGGTGTTGGTAGGCAAAGAACAGACCTGCTTCCAACAGTCCTGGCCGCCATCAGCAGAGTGGGTAGATAATACTAAGCAAATCCTCGTGCAGACAGTGTCAGCTGAAGATTCTAGAAGGGTTCAGCAGACAAAACCTTACAGGTGGTCGCGTGGGGGTGGGCACTAGCTAGGCCCTCACGGGCCCACGGGCTGGGGTGGATGTGTGTGGTGGTACGGGGTGGAGGGTGGCAGTGTAGAACGCCCCCAGCTGGCCCCAGCATTGAGCTGCCCCCTTCTGTTCCTCCAGACAGGTTACATGTTTGGGAAAGGTATCTACTTCGCTGACATGGTCTCCAAGAGTGCCAACTACTGCCACACGTCTCAAGGAGACCCCATTGGCTTGATCCTGCTCGGAGAGGTTGCTCTGGGAAACATGTGAGTCACCTGGCCCTGGACAGAGGAGAGAGGACAGCAGTCACAGACCCCATACATGTTAGGTGACGGGATCCAGAATAGGTCTGCACCATCGAGGGTCAGCAGGATGTCCCCACCTCCCCGCTACTAGACTGTGGGGCGCTAGAGTGAAAGGAAACACCACTCGGACCCACAGTCTCCATAGAAACCCAGCGTGGCTGCACTGGGCTGGTCCACCTGATCCGTCTAACCGGAAGAGCCAGACCATGTGATGGCTGTGGCCTGGCAGTCTGGTTGGCAGCTGCCACTCAGAGGGGCCTTGGGGCAGTGTCAGTGGGCCCAGCACCTGCTCAGCCAGAACCACCTGCTGGTCCTGGCACGCAGAGGGACGGGGTCTGGAGGTGTCAGCGTCCCCCGCCTCTCCTACTGTGTGACCAGTGGCCTTCCCCACAGGTATGAGCTGAAGCATGCTTCACATATCAGCAAACTGCCCAAGGGCAAGCACAGTGTCAAAGGTATTGTCCAGCCGCATGGCACCCTGGGAGTCGGGGTCAGGGCCCTTGAAAGGCTGTTCAGTTGTTGGGGCTTCGTTTAAGCCAGGCATGTGGTGCCTTTGGGTGCTGACATCACTGTACTGCAGGAGGGGGGGCCTCTGGGGTGATGCTGGATGGCTGGAGGGCCGGCCAGCATGGAAGCAGGGAGCTCTGCTTTCAGCCCTCCAGGTGTGGCTCCAGCACGGAGTAGGCCTTGCAGCTCGCCATTTCCACATCCTTGCTCAGCTCCTAACACTTGGCCTCTGTCTTGCAGGTTTGGGCAAAACAACACCTGACCCCTCTGCCAGCATTACCCTGGATGGGGTGGAGGTTCCCCTGGGGCCAGGGGTCTCCTCAGGTGTCAGCGACACCTGCCTGCTGTACAATGAGTATCCTTTCACTCCAGTGCACGGTGGAGTGCCGTGGGGCCCTGGGGTAGCTCACACCGGGTTCTGCGGGATGCCTGGTACGCAGCTCCCAGCTGAGCTAGGTACCTGTGTGCCGGCAAGCCTGGTCCCCAGTCTTGAGCCTCCCTCCTCTCCACAGACCACCAGAGTCATTCCCGCACTGCGGCCTGTCCTGCAGTAGCCAGCCTGTGGTGAGAGCTGGAAGGCCTTAGGTTCTCTGGGGAGGGAGGAACACAACCGCACCGCTGGCTCCTTGACCTGCTCCCCTCCAGGTACATCATCTATGACATCGCTCAGGTGAACCTGAAGTACCTGCTGAAGCTCAAGTTCAATTTTAAGACGTCCCTGTGGTGAGGAGGGAGGTGGCACTCTGCAGTCTGCGGGCGCTAGTGCGCAGCGACTCCACAGCTGCAGAGCTGCCTCTAGCCCGGCTCTGCGCAAGGGTTTTGTATGAACAGGTCCAAGAGTTTTCAAGTCCTTTTTTGTGCTGCGCCGGGGCTGTGTCCTGCCCTGGCACAGATGAAGGTAGAGGAGTCCCTACACCAGGGCCCAGCATCTGCCTCCCTGGTCCCCAGCGAAGGAAATGTGCCTCCTCCCTTTTCCTACACATTAGCCTTTAGTTTGATTTTGGCAAACTGTTAAGCATTTATTTTGAGCTAAAAATAAAATCTAATTTGGTACTATGTCCTTTCCTTTTTTCCATCTTGGACTCATTGCCCTCTCTGGTTGGTAGCTCTGTATCCTTTGCTTTGAAGGACACAGGAAGACAACGGGAGGAGAGCAGATCTTCCTCCCACGAGTCTTTGTTGTTGTTGGTCGTGGGGCTTGAACTCTGGGTCTGGGCGCTGTCCCTCAGCTCTTCAGCTCAAGGCTAGTGCTCTACTACTTGAGCCATAGCACTGCTTCCAGTTTCCTGGTAGTTAACTGGAGATAGTCTCACGGACTTTGCTGCTGGGGCTGGCTTTGAAGCATGATCCTTAGACCTCTGCCTCCTGAGTAGCCCCGAAGCCAGGTGTGAGCCACCGGCGCCCAGCCCCACAAGTGGAAACTCTTAGTATATGCTGTAGTGAATGAACAGTTGCACTCGGAATTCTCCACTTGCCTATGAGCAGTTTTGTCTTACAAATTCAAACTGATGAAGCTATACACGGGTTTGTAGTCGTAAAGCACACATGGCTTCTGCACACCTGTGCCGTCTGGTCTCTTGCCTGGGCAGTCCGTCATCACGTGAGAGCGGCAGCCCCTCAGCGCCCGCGTTCTCCCTCTCTGCCGTGTGCACTGTGGTTTGGGGTCACCCCTGTCACACCCTCTAGGGGCAGGCGTTTGTGTAGGACTAAGCTGGAAGCCAGGCATCTGTCACTTCAGCCTGTCACAGGGGCATAGGAAGTTCAAGGCAGAAGATGGAATCACAGGCCTGCAAGTGGGTTCTGGAACCTTCCTCAGCAAAGTAAAGGTAACAGCATGTGTCTCCTATCAGAAGTTGCACTGGCATTTTTTTTTTCTTGGTTAGGGAAACAGTTGCAGGTCCACGTCTGCACTGGAAAGTTCTGATGAGCCCAGCCAGCGGCTGGCGTGAGTGATTTGGGTCACAGTGGATGTTTGCCAATAGCAGTGATGCCTGTGAAGTACCCCAAGTACCTTTAGCTTACATTTGTGCCCTCAAATTCCTCACTTAGCTCAGTGGATCCTTAACTCTGATATAAAGCAGGGGTCAGGCTTACAGGATTGAGCCCTTGCATTCCTAGACCACCTGAGCCTTGGTTCCTGCCTGTCTGGCACATTCTCAGGACTACATGAGCGATCAGTCACTTCTACGCAGTCTCCCAAATCTGGCACTCAGCATTGTGGAGAATGTACTTAGCATGGTTCCTGTCGTGGTCAGCACTCAGTAGATAATGGTCCTGCAGGAGTCTGAACGCATGCAGGAAGCTGGGAAAGGGAGAGGAGGGGAGGACATTGCTGTGCTTTCCCCATCTCAGTGGTGTCCAACCACCCTCCATGTGGCTTCCAGTCCTTCCTGCCCTCCATCCCCGTGACATAACATGGCCAGCACTGACCCTGGCCCTCCTCACTTCCAGGCAGGCTTGCTGAGGCTCAGAATAGCCCAACTGCTGTCTCAGCACATGGCCAGGCTAATTTTAACCACCTGGTGCTCGCCCAGCAAGCAGGCTGAGTGTTCTACATGAGCCAACGTGCCATTCTGGTCCACAGCCAACAAAGCCTTGTGTTGTGGTCTCTGCCTAGCACTGTATAGGAATTCCAGAAATGAAATCTTAAAGGATTTTATTTCTCTGAACCAACAAGGATCAGGCTGTGGAGCAGCGGGCGCCAACTGAGCTGCTGGGGTTCAGAGGAGGGGGAGGAGCAGAGTACACCAGTGCTGCCTCTACTTCCTGGGGCTCTCCCGGTCCTCGATTCCACATCACCCGCTGGGCCAGTCCTGGGCGAGCCGGGCAGCCCCTGGGGGCTACGGAACTGTCCTCAGGAAGAAAACCCAAGCCCAACAAGGACCTTCTCTGGCAGCTAACACACAGCCTCACGACAAGCTAAGTGGACAAGTAGGGGAACAGACTTAACACGTTGGCGACCTGTGCCAGTTTGCTGGCCCTTACCCAACCACCCCCATTTAGAAGACTGCCATTCATACACACCCTCCCCAAAGCAGAGTGGCAGCCATGTGCAGTGGCATCCTGTATTCATTCCAGCCGGCCACCACGTTCTCCAGATGGATGTCTAGCCACAGAGGAAGCTGGGCGCCAGAGGAAACATCAGTAAGACGAGACCAGACCAGCTGCCTTCCATGCCTGCATGGCCTGTCAATTTCGCTGCTTTCAGCCACAAGAAAAGCCTAAGTATATCCTGCTTGAGCAAGAAAACACGTGCCATCTGTGTGGGGAGAGACAGAGGGGCTGGCGGTGGGGCTCGGCGGGTAGTGCACTGACCAGCAGTTACAAAGCTGCCTTCACACCCCTGTATCTTTCTCTGAATCTTTCTCTTGGTTTTCCCACAGTTGCAAGATGCCAGCTGGACTCCTAGCACCAACATCCAGAGTCCCTCCCCTCTCTTCTCATCTCCTTGCCTGGTGCGTGGCCCAGCCATGGGAGAGTGGGCATGGAGTGTCTGATGGAGGTGAAGAGGTGCTGAGTGGCTGCAGTCTCGGTGGCACACACCCCTTCTGGGGCAGGGGGTCCACAGATCCACTAGACTGTCCATGGGCACACTCAGACATGCCCAGAGAATCAAGGTCCTCTCCCCATCTGTCATGTGTGAATTCCAGAAACTGCCCAAGGGGGTGGTCCAGCCCAGCTTGTCAGGTCAGAATCATTTGCCTCAGTGGTCCCTGGATTCTAGTGTTGGTGAGAATTCTTCTGTAGCCACTGTGGTGCGCAGGACCAGGGGACTGACCTGGACCAGCCACGATGTCTTGTGTGGAGCTGTTGGGGCAGGGGGCGGGCGCAGGCAGAGTGGGCAGGTGTTGACTGAAGTCTGGTCTCCCCAGTGTCCCCGGCATCATGCCCAGGATAGACACCATCTCCATCCAGGTAGGCTCTGGATTATCACAACACAGGAAGGGCATGTGACACCCCTGCGGACATGTGGTGGAGCCAGCCCATCTACATTATCCTGAACAAGCGCACTTTATGGACAAAAGTAAAGTGTTCTTCCCACTGGCTCTCTAGAATGGTTGAGAAATGAACTCTTTCTATTCTGCAAGCCTTGTAACTGGCCCAAGACAATCTCTGATTTATGACTAAGCAGGCACTCTACCACCACTTGAGCCTTGCCCCTGGCCCACATCTCTGCTCTTGATCCGGTTTTGCTATTCCTCTGTGCAGGAAGCCTGGGACAGGAAAAGAAATTCCTGTCTTCTCTATTTCTCAGCCTTTCCTTCACTCTGCATTAGCCAGTTTTCATCACTAAGACGGATACCCAAGACAAGTTACTTATACAGAGAAAGGGGGTGATTTGGCTCACAGCCCTGGAGGTTTTGCTTTGACACTCTGATGAGGAACACGGCAGGAGTGTGAACCAAGCAAATCCCCACCTCCTGAGCTAGAAAGCCAGGAGGTGACAGGAAGCCAGGCACCAGGGGCTCACACCTGTACTCCTAGCTACTCAGAAGGCTGAGGTCTGAGGCCAGCCCTGGCAGGAAATAGCTCAGGGACAGTGTCCAGGCCCTGAGTTCAAGCCCTAGGATAAAAAAAAAAAAAAAAAGGAAGAGACCAGGTCCCACCATCCTCTTGGAGTGCACACCCCAATGACCTAAAACTTTCCACTAGGTTCCACCCTTTTCTTTTTTTTTTTTTTTTTTAATGGAGCTTGAACTCAGGGCCTGGGCTCTGTCCAAGAGCCTTTTTGCTCAAGGATAGCACTCTACCACTTTCAGCCACATCCCCACTTTATCTTCAGATAAGGAATCTCACTGATTTTCTTGCCCAGCCTGGCTTCAAACAAAGATGCTCAGGTGCCCGGCTCCTGAGCAGGTGGGCTTACAGGTGTGGGCCCCCCACGCCCGGCAGTCCCATCTCTTGAAGGTTATGGGCCTTCCCATTGAACTGCCCTCTCAGCTGGGGAAGTGAAGAGGCAGGGCAGGACTTCCCGCACTGGCTCTAGCCAGCCTGGCTCTGCAAGGCACAGACACTGACTGGCTTCCTTCTCAGGGACTCTGCTGGGTACTCAGAGGGCGATGTATCAGCCAAAATAAACCTTTTCTCCTTGCATGCTGTTTGCTTCAGATATTTTGGCACAAGAGGAAAGTGACCTGCTCAAGGAGTCACTTCCCTTACCCTGAGCAGCCCAGCCCGGCGGCACCGCACCGTCCCAGCTGAGCAGGGAGTCCCGCTTGCAGGGGGCTGGTCCTGGTCTGTGGCACCCCCGGCAGATGGCTTACAAGGAAACTTGGTAGTTCTGAGGTCCAACAGGTAATTGTGCTCTTTGATTTTTGTTTTTTTGTACTGGTCCTGGGGCTTGGTGCTGTCAAGGTTTTTTGTTGTTGTTGTTGTGTTTCATTTCTATTTTTCCTCAAGGCTGGCACTCTATCACTTGAGTCCCAGCTCTACTTCTGGCTTTCTGGTGGTTAACTGGACAGCAAGGGTCTCATGAACGCTCCTGTCCAGGCTGGCTTCAAACTTTAATCCTCAGCTCTTAGCCTCCTGAGCAGCTAGCATTACGGACATGACCTACCAGCTCCTGGCATGTTTTTCTGCCTGGGATGTGAACTATTTAGAGGTGTGCCTGGCACAGGCGTGGCGTGTGACCACAGCAGCAGGGGCTGTGTGCAAAGTCCCCTGACCAGCAGCACTAAACTAAGCCCTCCCCGACCCATGTCCTCCAAGGCTGAGCGTGTGCAACCTGCTCATCTCAGGAAGCTGCTAGCCTTCACCCCATGCAACACAAGCCTGAAAGACCTTGGGGTCTGAGGCCCCCTCCCCTTCTCCTCCCCTGCCGGCCTCACCCCTACAGGGTTTAAGACAAGGGAACACTCACTGTTTTGCCTGAATGAGTCCAGAGGATGGACTGTCACTTCTGACTAGGAAGATGGGTTTCCTAGAGGCAAAGTCTACTTGGCAAAAGGTAGACTGGAAGGGTATAGAATCTGTGAGCCCTGCTGGGCAACTGAAGGTAAGAGCTGGGCCTGGTGGACACTCCTGTCATGCTGGCACTCAGGAGGCTGGGGCTGGAG